AGCCTCCATCAAAATTTTAAATGTGCCAGCCTTTTGGCAGACATTCCCCTTGTGGAGACTTACGTTGTTGTTATTTAGTGACTAAGTCGTGTCCATCTCTCTTGTGACCCCATAGATTGCAGTCTGCCAGGCTCCTTTGTCCATGGGGTTTCCCAGGCAGGAATACTGGAGTGGCTTGTCATATCCTCCTGTAGGGAATCTTCCTGACCCAGGAATTAAATCAGCGTCTCCTGAGTTTTCTGCTTTGGCACGTGGATTCTTTACCACTGAGCCTCCAGGGAAGACAGTGGAGATTTATGCCACAGAAGTATTTCACCTGAAGTTGTATGCACAAGGATGTTTATTACAATGCTGTAATAAGTAGAGAAAGACTGGAGACAGCCTAAATGTCCATCAATAGGGGACTGGTTAAATAAATCACAGAATTAATACAATACTGTGTAACAAAAGAAAAAGAATAGATATTTAGGTGCAGATATAGAAGGAGATATATTACATCTATTGTTACGGGACCACAGCATAAACTGTACAGACAGAACAAATCCTCCCAATTGTTTTGAAAGAAAAAGGGTTTTAAATTCACTTCATAGTTGGTTGTGCCTTGAACAATTTGGAACAATAAATAAAAGCCTATTAGCAGGAACCTTTTTGAGGGACTCCTGGAAAGTAGGAGGACAACTTTCTTTTCTTTTGTTTGTATCTTTGTATCTTTTGAGGTCATGCATGCCATGGGAATATTTTTCTGTTTTGAATATTTTAAAGTGTCCTTGACATTTTATTCTACATTCTCTTCATAGTCTCATATTGCCATCAGTACTTTATTCATTTCATTATAAAAGGAAACAGAAGTACTTCTGCTCTTGGCCGTTATACCAGAGCTAGGTGACAGTTTTGGTCTCATCCCTCCTCACAATAACACAGTATAACTGCTGTTTCCTTCCTGTTTCCTTCCTGGTCACGCTTCACACTGTGAGATGTTAGGCACGCAGCAAGGGGAGTGGTCCCTACAAGATGTTTACTAAATGTTTTGTTGTTGTTCAGTCGCTCAGTCATTTCCGACTTTTTGCCACACGATGGACTGCAGCATGCACTTCCCTGTCCTTTACCATCTCCCAGAACTTGCTCAAACTTGTGTCCACTGAGTCGGTGATGCCATCCAACCATCTCATCCTCTATCATCCTCTTCTCCTCTTGCCCTCAATCTTTCCCAGCATCAGAGTCTTTTCCAGTGAGTCAGTTCTTCCCCATCAGGTAGCCAAAGTATTGGAGCTTCAGCTTCAACATCAGTTCTTTCAATGAATATTCAGGACTGATTTCCTTTAGGATTGATTGGTTTGCACTCCTTGCAGTCCAAGGGACCCTCCAAGAGCCTTCTCCAACACCACAGTTCAAAAGCATCAGTTCTTTGGTGCTCAGCTTTTTTTATGGTCCAACTCTCACATTCATACATGACTACTGGAAAAACCATGGCTTTGACTAGATGGACCTTTGTCAGCAAAGTAATGTTTCTGCTTTTTAATATGCTAAGTTGGTCATAGCTTTTCTTCCAAGGAGCATGCATCTTTTACTTTCATGGCTGCAGTCAGCATCTGTAGTGATTTTAGAGCATTGTTTCTCCATCTATTTGCCATGAAGTGATGGGACCGGATGCCAAAATCTTTGTTTTCTGAATGTTGAGTTTTAACCCAGCTTTTTCACTCTATTCTTTCACTTTCATCAAGAGGCTCTCTAGTTCCTCTTCGCTTTCTGCCGTAAGAGTGGTGTCATCTGCATATCTGAGGTTGTTGATATTTCTCCGGGCAATCTTGATTCCAGCTTGTTATTCATCCAGCCCTGCATTTTGCATGATGTACTCTGCATATAAGTTAAATAAACAGGGTGACAATACACAACCTTGACACACTCCTTTCCCAATTTGGAACCTTTCTGTTCTTCCTTGTCCAGTTCTAACTGTTAACTCCTTGACCTACATACAGGTTTCGCAGGAGGCAGATCAAGTGGTCTGGTATCCCCATCTCTTTTAAGAATTTTCCAGCACTTGTTGTGATACAAGATAATTAATGCTTAGACATGTGGTGAAAGTGTAACGCCTAATGTGAAAACTTTAGAAACACATTGTACACACTCCTGTGCCAGACTCCTTTCACACTTTTCGCTGTTTGTGAGTCTCCGTTTTACCTTTTATCTATAACATGAAGAGGGTTAAAAGCCCGAATCCATCAATAGTGAAAAACTTGTGGGTGAGATGAAGAAATAATACTGATAAAGGACTCTGGAAAGGTAGACCACACTTCCTTGTGTGGCTCCTTTGTGCTCTAGTATTATCATAGTGCGGTATTCTCTTAAATAGTCACAGTTGTGTATTGTCACAGTCACAGTCTATGTGTGAACTTATGTGTAAGCTTGTGTGCAGTGGTTTAAATGTGTGAATAACCGAGATTGCAGTGATACGTTAAGCATGAAGGCTGTTCTTTGTTGTTATTAGTTTATAAAATATAATGCTGAATGTATTTATTTTCTGATACTGACATTGCCTTCTTGTTGTCTGTTAAATTACTTATTCCTACTTACTCTTCCTGAGATGAAAATAAGCACCTACCAGAAAATAAATATAGCTCTGAAGAGGAAACAGCTCAGGTTTGTTAAGAGACGTAACTTTTGTGTCTTTATTAAAGCTGCCAAATGTATACTTTGTAGTCCCAGTGTAAGATATATATAGATGATTGTTTTAGGGTAAAACTTGGTACCTTTTCTGGATGTTCTCTCAATTAAATTAATCCTTATGTTCAAACATAAATTGAAGCAGAACGTGTTCCATTTTCAGTGATTCTCACTAAATTTTGTTTTTGTTGTATTTCCATCTATTTTTAATAATTGAGAGCCTCTTGTGGTTAGGAATAGTGTTTGAGACTTTAGTGAAATCTAATTAGTTTAAACTTTTAAGCCTTAAAAAGTGACATGTAAAGTCATAGTGAAATTTTCTGATGGCTTTCATAGTCTATTCAGCATTGCTTATTTAGAGGGGATAGTACACGATTTAAACTGTGTGTTTACTGTAGTTACAGTGATCTTTTCCAAGTTGTTTAGAAATCAGTTCATTTAGCTACAAAGAGAAAATGAAATTTAAAAGACTTACTAGCATACGGCATGTGAGCCTGCCCATTCCTCTTTATTAACAGTTTACTAAAACGAGTATCTAACCACTACCCATAATTCGTGTGCACACATGTGTGTTTGAGGCACAGGTGAGGATCTGCTCATTTGTTTGCCCATTGTGAGGCTATCTTGCACCTTCTTGGGGTTTTTGTAACAGGATGAAGGTCACTGAATGGAGGCCTTGTGCTCTGCTTGATTTTGAAATCTTTGCTCTTAATCTAAAGGAACCTACGGGACATGCAGTTGGAAGTCTGTGTAACAAATCAAAGTCTGGGATCCAGGAGCAAGTGGAGTGTGTGTATGAGTGGTAATCATCTTTCATCCTTGGCTTTTGTCCCCCACAGCCCAGTTGTTACCCTCTACCAGCAGCCTGATTGAAGAGCTACTGTTTTAAATATTCTCAGATTGCGTGTGCTCGAGACCTCACCTAAATGTTGTCAGATAAAAGCCTGGACAACTGGGTGTAATTCTCCTCCAAAAATGTAGGGCATTCTGCACTACTGTTAGAGGTTAGATGTCTTGACCTGTTGTGTGTGTGGATTTATGTATAGGGAAAAGGAGTTACTTGGGAAATGCTATATTGTTGGCATGCTCTTTACCTCAGAGCCTCTTTAAAGGCAGGCTGCACCAAAACTTTGCTAGTTAAGTCTAGTTTGTACAGCTTGTGTACTTTTAGTACCAGCTGTTGGTCCAAAGTTTCTTGGCTTCAGAAGCTGTGTAAGTTCAAGTGGATACTGTATGAGAAAGGGGTGGGGCAACAGCTTTTTGTAGGGTTTCAACTCATTACCATTAATTTCTAAAGTAGTATTTTGAGAATTTAACAGGGGAAGTAAAACTTGTATATAATGTTTCTTTAATTCTAACACATATTTAAACTGACAGGGAAAAGAAGAGAATTTTATTTTCAAGTGATATTTTCCGTTCTTTTTTTTCTTCCCTGTCAGAAACTGGTTCTTCAACTTTCAGTGCCAATTAAGAAATGCAATAATAAGCATTTTACATTCTGTCCTACTATTTGACTTCAGGTGTAAATGGGCCTAGAATGTTTAGTAACTAAGTGTACATAGTTAAACAACTAGAGAGCTGACACCCAGTAAGTTTGGTCTGATATTTGGTTTGTATAATATTATTTCAGCATAATACTAAAACCATGCAGAATTCCTCCTGGAAAAGTATTCAAGAGGATGCCAGAAAGGCCATGTTAATAATAAGTTTCTCTACTTCAGTAGATTTTGAATGTGTTTTCTTCCTCACTACTGTTTTATGCTTTATTATGGTTCTTTGATAACTATGCTATGTGAACATATGGAATTCTATATATGAGTGTTTATTGGTTTTGTAGAAACCTCAAGATATTGTCAGCTTAATAGCTGTATTGTTTTATGGGTTATTGAAAGGACATCTTAAAAGTCAGTTGATAATGAAGTTTTCATTAATTATTTTAATGGTTTCAAGGTAATATTAAAGGCAATTCAACCAAAATAAAAATTAAACAATAATGTGAACTTTTGATCTGCTCTGTTTTAAGAGTTTAGTTATTGCTAGCTTTCTTTCCCATCTTTTACTGACTGTCACCTTCCTGCAAAACTCAAATACAGTGTTTAGTTTGTATGGTCGCATAATAAATTTAATTGTTATTTATACATGTTTTTGCTCTTGATGATATGCTGCCTTCTTGTATTTTATTTTTGCTTCTGAGAAAGTGTTAGAAAAGTGATAATTATATTTATATGTCTACTTAAAGTAACATAAGTTGATACTTTGTGATAAGCCTTTGCTTCATCTTAATTACCAAAGAAGCTTATAACTCATTGAGATATTTCTTTATATTTGTGTTTGTTTAGGATATGTCTCAGGAAGGCTATGGAACTAGGTCTCAACCTCCTCTGGCTTCTGGAAAACCTAACCATGAAGACTTGAACTTAATTCAACAAGAAAGACCATCGAGTTTACCAGTAAGACAATTAATTGATTTGGAAATGCAATGAGTTACGGATTTCTAAAACGAGCATTTGCTTTTGTTCATTGTACTTTATATTAGGACTTGGGAGAAGTTTCTGAATTTCAGATGTATTTGTGATTTATTAATTTTTGTGCATTTCTTTCTTAAAGGAGCTGTGTAGTTCTGAATAAGTCTATTTCATTAGTAGGTCTCTTCGAGTCCAATGCTGTAGGTATCTCTGAATCCAGTTGGAAGCCTTTATTTGGCTGATAAGTTTTGTGGCAGAAAGATGTTACTGTTGTACAGTTGTGCTTTGCATAACATGTTGCTTTCTGGTAGTGATTCAGAACAGAGGTATCTATGCAAGAGTTAAATGGAAAGGAAATTCCCATTTTGCAAATAATATAAATAATGAGATAAAGCGTCCAGTGGTAGTTTGAATTTCTTCAGAGACTTTATGTCATGAGAAATGACTTAATCTTTTTTTACCCAAAAGAAAGTATTTTAATTTAAAATTGGAAAATACAGCTTATAGGTATTTCCATTAGCAAATCACTGTACTGGGTCTGTTGACTACGGTAGTAGCTGAGTTACAGGTTACATGTTAATTTCCTTTAATAGTTCATCTGTGCTTAATTTTCCTTTTTCCTCTCATAGGCAACCTTATTTAAATGAGGTTTTCCTTATAAATTAAAAGAATATATGTGTGCAAATTTTTATATTTATTTTCTTGTTAAAATATTTTTATTTATAGAATTATTGTTATTGCTTAATCTCTATTAAGAGATAGTGTTTAATGTAGGAGTTCAAACTAGCCATGACTGTAATTTGAATTTCAAATATGTTTACATTAAATAAGATTTATCATATTGTTGCTAAACATTTGAGAACCAGCATTTGTGAAGAATGTTATATGTGACATACCTATTTCTAAGTTACATGTAGCCTTAGAATAGAAGGTAAGTAGAGGCTCCATGATATGTAATATCTTTGCATCTGATGCACATGTACTTGAAACTCTTAATTTTTACAGATTTTATTTCTGTGGTGGGAGGTGCGTAAAATTTACTGTGGTCATTTTTTTAGTTGCATTGAAATATTTATTGTCTAGTTATTTGGTTTTTAAAGGAATGAAAAAAGTAATGGACTCTTGTTTTATGCTGTAAACTTTTCTCTTCAGCAGATAATCTGCAGTTTGGTGAAGTGTGTGTGTGTGTCTGTCTGCAAATGCATGTGATTGCTGATGATAAATGCAACATTTGCTGAATATTTGGAAATTGGCTTGTGGTTTTAGGAAATTTAAATTGACTCTTGTAAAGGTGGACAGTGAATTCAACTTTTTTCTACTCAAGATTTTTAGTGTTTTAGATAAGCCCATCGTTACAGGTTTGTCATTGGCTGGTGATGTGTACTGTTTTACCGGTTGGAAAGTTTGTTATAAATTGATGCCGGTTATTTGCATAGGTCTAAGAGTAGTTTGCAGTGTACTGCTTTCTTAATAGCCATTTGAACTTTTGGGTCACTTACTAGGTTATGCTTCTTTTCATTGCTCTGCTTTAGAATGAATGGTTGATGTTCAGCTAACTCCATAGCATAATTAGGGGAGGGTTGGGGTGGCAAGAAGTGTGGTAGTCCCAGAAAACTGACGAGTTCTGCTTTGGGATGCTGCTTTTTAAGTTGATTATTAGAGAAGAGACTCAAAGTATTTTAGGAAGTGAACCAGTATATTCTTCAACAAGTTAAGTCTTTTGGATTATTCTATTTGTATATGTATAATGGCTTACTTTCTTCCTTGGTGTTTATCTTGCCTCCTCCCTTAGAGGATTTAAGGTTGCTCATAATATAAATCTTCTTACGAAGCTATTAAAAAAAGAAATGCCCTTGTTGGTATTTTCTTTTTGTTTTTTTGTAACTCACAGATAAATAGGATGCTGATTGACTCAATAACATTTCAGTAATCTTTTTTTAGAGATGAAAGTTTCTAGGTTTTATGGTGAGTACATAAAAGCATCAGTTACTGAATAAAGGAAAAATCGTAGAGCAGTTGGTTGTACTTACTTAAACCCCCTGCCCTCAGCCTGTTAAGATAAAAAATTGGCTTTATTTAAATGAATTTTAGTGCTCTACTTTTCTTTCAACAGGCTTTGTTTGTGTAGAAAAGTTTTCTATGTAGGGTTTACAAATATATATTTTTATTTATGTAAATGGTGCATCAATATGTTATATAAAACTAAGGTAATTACAGTTTGGGGGAGAGATTTGTTGTTATTCTGTGTGGCTCTAATATCATGTATTTTTACTCTTAGTAAATATTTTAGTTCCCTCACTTAGGTAAATTGACTGAATAAGTACCATGAAAATATATATATTTGTTATCTTATCTGAATTGGTTGTTAGATCCTTTGTGGATTTAGGCTGTGTTTTTTCCTTTTCAAGTGTCAGTGATAAAATTTTGTCTTTTTACTGAAGATTAAAGGCAGTCCATCATGTTTTTAATCTCTAGTTTTGTAATTTTGAGTCAAATTGTGGGTCTTACTTGTTCATTTAAGAATATGTGGTAAAAATTATTCTAATATATAATCAACTCTATAACCATTGTATATGTGACTATAAGAAGGAAGCTTCTAAAGTAATTGTTTCTTAATTTTTTGCTTAAATTGAGTTACATTCATAGAATTTGTGGTATTTTCCTATAGCTCTGCATGTTTGGTATTTTCTTTAATGTATTTTTGTTATACAGTTAATTCTCCGTTATAAGAAATCAAGGCATTCCCTTATGCTTGATCTAGAATTTGATTCTCTCAGCAAGCTGTCCTCTCACCATTGTTTAAATTGGTAATTGTCTATATTTGCATGTCATTAAATTCTTGGTGATCTTCAGTAGCTAATGCAGTTTTGTTTTCTGGCTGACACGGCTCTTTAGATCATCCACATAAAGCCAGTGACAGATAAATTAATATTTGTTGTCTTGCTGTCTTGGGGCCACGACCAGTAATGTTTACTTTTCACTTAATGCACTCAGACCTAAGCTCAGAACAAATCTTCCTTAATTAGATTTCTGTACTGATTTCTTTATCTCTTAATCATATAACCTTTTTCCTGTTGAAGTTCATTAGTTTATATATCCTTGATGTTATCATTATTAAGAAATCTTAGTGTATAACATATGATATAAAAATTAGCTTGAAGAATTCTATCTCCTTGGGATATTACCACTTAAAATTTTAACACATTCTATAGTTGTTTTCTGCCTCTAATATTGATATGAAATGAAGCCATCAAAAAACTGTTATAGCTTATCAACACTTTTGTTTTGTAAACATTGAGCATATCTTAATTTGCACTCTAACTCCACAAATACAATTTTAATACATTTCTGTTTAGTCTTTTTAACTTTTTCATCACTTATGGCATTTACTAGTAATCCTCTTATTGCTTTCATAGTTGTCTTGCCTGACCCTCTCATCCCTAAGAGATGAGGATCTTTTTTATAGTATTTGTTTTTAGTTCAGTTCAATCACTCAGTCATGTCTGATTCTTTGTGACCCGTGGACTGCAGCACGCCAGGCTTTCCTTGTCCATCACCAACTCCCAGAGCTTGCTCAAACTCATGTGCATTGAGTTGGTGATACCATCCAACCATCAAATCCTCTGTCATCCCCCTCTCCTCCTGCCTTCAGTCTTTCCCAGGATCAGGGTCTTTTCCAGTGAGTCAGTTTATTGCATCAGGTGGCCAAAATATTGGGGCTTCAGCATCATTCCTAAAAGAAATCATTCAGGACTGATTTCTTTTAGGATTGACTGGTTGGATCTCCTTTCAGTCCAAGGGACTCTACAAGAGTCTTCTCTAACACCACAGTTCAAAAGCATCAATTCTTTGGCACTCAGCTTCCTTTATAGTCCAACTCTCACATCCATACATGACTACTGGAAGGATTGATGTTGAAGCTGATACTCCAATATTTTGGCCACCTGATGTGAAGAACTGATTCATTTGAAAATACCCTGATGCTGGGAAAGATTGAAGGCGGGAGGAGAAGAGGATGAGATGGTTGGATGGCATTACCGACTCAATGGACATGCTGCTGCTGCTGCTAAGTCACTTCAGTCGTGTCTGATTCTGTGCGACCCCAAAGATAGCAGCCCACCAGGCTCCCCCCACCCCTGGGATTCTCTAGGCAAGAACACTAGAGTAGTTGCCATTTTCTTCTCCAGTGCCTTAAAGTGAAAAATGAAAATGAAATCTCTCAGCCATGTCCGACTCTTTGCAACCCCATGGACTGTAGCCTACGAGGCTCCTCCGTCCATGGGATTTCCAGGCAGGAGTACTGGAGTGGGTTGCCATTTCCTTCTCCACAATGGACATAAGTTTGAGTAAACACCAGGAGCTGGTGATGGACAGGGAGGCCTGGTGTGTTGCAGTCCATGGGATCGCAAAGAGTCGGACATGACTGAGCAACTAAACTGAACTGGAAAAACCGTGGCTTTGACTAGGTGGGCCTTTGTCAGCAAAGTAATGTCTCTCCTTTTTAATATGCTGTCTAGGTTGGTCATAGCTTTTCTTCCAATGAGCAAGCGTCTTTTAGTTTCATGGCTGCAATCACCATCTGCAGTCATTTTGGAGCTCAAGAAAAGAAAGGCCCCGACTGTTTCCACTCTTTCTCCATCTGTTTGCTATAAAGTGATGGGACTGGATGCCATGATCTTAGTTCTCTGAATGTTCAGTTTTAACCCAACTTTTTCACTCTCCTCTTTCACTTTCATCAAGAAGCTCTTAGTTCCTCTTCACTTTCTGCCACAAGAGTGGTATCATCTGCATATCTGAGGTTATTGATATTTCTCCTGGCAATCTTGATTCCAGCATATAAGTTAAATAAGCAAGGTGACAGTATACAGCCTTGACACACTCCTTCCCCAATTTGGAACCAGGTTGTTGTTTCTAACTGTTGCTTCTTGACCTGTGTACAAGTTTCTCAGGAGGCAGATCAAGTGGTCTGGTCATTTCCTTCTCTT